GGGGTGCGGGGCAGCGGCGTCCTGGCCACGCTGAGCCTGCGCGACTGCAAACTGCAGGAGGTGCGCGCGGGGCCGCAGAGCTGCCAGTCGTGGGAGGGGGTCCTGAGGCCCAGAGGGGTTGGGGCGACTATACGGAGCGGGGCCAGGAGAACCTGGTCCGGAGGCTTAGCGCGGTTCCGGGCCACAGGGGTCCCGGGCCAGCGGGACTGCAAACTGCAGAGGGCGGGACCGAGGGGACGGGCAATGCCCAGGTGGTTGCTAGGACCTGACCAGGCGGGGCTGGCAGCTGGAGAAGCCGGAGGAGCCTCGGAGCCGAAAGCCAGTGGAGAAGTGGGGCGAAGGGGCGGGGTCCACGGGGGCGAGGCCTAGGGTAGGGCAGGGCCAGAGGGGGAGGGATCCCTGAAAGCCTGGACGGGGAAGCTGCGGAGGCAACCTGAGCGAAACCGAGAGGTGGACGGGGGACCAGGCGGGGACAAGAAAAGGGGCGGGTCAGAGAGAGGGCGGGGCCATCGGATGACCGGCAGGGCCCAAATCGAGGGGCTCAATCGAGGGCTCCAGTTTGGTTTGAACAATTGTGCTGGGCAGGAGATGGGTCCTGAAGCCCACCAGGCACCAGGTCAGGGGCGGGGCGAGAGAAGGGGTGGGGGACAAGAGGTGGTGTCCAGGGCCAGGAGAAGGCGTCTGGGTGGACCGGTCTGGCGGTTCAACCCCTCGTCTGCCTTTGCTCAGGCCAAGTTTGAGCTGATCACGTCCGAGGCCTCATACATCCACAGCCTGTCGGTGGCCGTAGGCCACTTCCTGGGCTCAGCTGAGTTGAGTGAGTGTCTGGGGACGCAGGACAAGCAGTGGCTGTTCTCCAAACTGCCCGAGGTCAAGAGCACCAGCGAGAGGTAAGGGACTGGCCTGGCCTAGTGGGGGGCGGGGAAGAGATTGGTGCGGCTCCCAGGCCTGGGGTCTCACCTTGTCGCTGACCCCTCGCTGACCCCTCAGGTTCCTGCAGGACCTGGAGCAGCGACTGGAGGCGGATGTCCTGCGCTTCAGCGTGTGTGACATTGTGTTGCATCACTGCCCTGCCTTCCGCCGAGTCTACCTGCCCTACGTCACCAACCAGGCCTACCAGGAGCGCACCTACCAGCGCCTGCTGTAGGGCTGGGGCCTCGGAAAGGGGGGAGGACAGAGAGGTTCTCGGTGGGAGTAGGCGTGGAGGACTGGGTGCGGAAGGGTGACCTGTGAGGGAGGGGGTCCCTGGAAAGGGCTCTGTGACCCGAGTGCAGGAAGGATGTGCTGAGAAAGCACCTGAAGAACCACGGGGTGGTTGGGTCATGGATCCCAGGAGTTCAGACCCAACTGTGACCCCAGGCCCCTCCCCAACTTCCAGCCTGGAGAACCCCAAGTTCCCTGGCATCCTGGCTCGCCTAGAGGAGTCTCCCGTGTGCCAACGCCTGCCCCTCACCTCCTTCCTCATCCTGCCCTTCCAGAGGATCACCCGCCTCAAGATGCTGGTGGAGGTACCTGCAGGGCACAGGCTGGGCCAAGGAGATGCCACTGGGAACCTCCACAGCCCCTTCTGGGCGGGCACCCATGGGAGGGCAGGATCACGGGGGGAGGCCATGGCCTGCCGCATTGAACCGACCCCACCCTCCAGAACATTCTGAAGCGGACGGCACAGGGCTCTGAAGACGAAGACATGGCCACCAAGGCCTTCAATGCGCTCAAGGAGGTGAGCTGGGCAGGGCAGGGGCCTTCTGGCTCCCAAGGGCCTCCCCAGAGCCCCGGTGTGTCTGTAAAGGCCCCCAGGTGGGAGTCCGAGGCTGGGCTCTGGGAGCCGGGGTTGTGGGGCTGCAGGTGACCCCCCCATGGCCTCCGCAGCTGGTGCAAGAATGCAACGCCAGTGTGCAGTCCATGAAGAGGACGGAGGAGCTCATCCACCTGAGCAAGAAGATCCACTTTGAGGGCAAGGTGCATGCCCACAGCGGGCGGGTGGGCACACCAAGGGGAGCTCCTGTTCCCTCCCTCCCTGGGGGCTGCAGGCCAATTCCTCACTGCTCCCACCCACCCCGCCCTGGCTGGCGCTCTCTGCCCTGCTGCCCCGGGTCTGACGTGTTCTCCCTCTTTGCCTTGTCCTTCCGCCCAGATCTTCCCACTGATCTCCCAGGCCCGCTGGCTGGTGCGGCACGGGGAGCTGGTGGAGCTGGCCCCGCTGCCCGCGGCGCCCCCGGCCAAGCTGAAGCTGTCCAGCAAGGCGGTCTACCTGCACCTCTTCAATGACTGCTTGCTTCTCTCCCGACGGAAGGAGTGAGTCGGGGCCGGGTGCGGGGGGAGGTAGATTGGAGCTGGGCTCCCTTCTTCCCCACTAATGGGCCCAACGGCCAGTCCATCCCTGGGCCTGGGAGCCCCCGCCTGCACCGGACGGTGTTGCCAGGGCACCCTGAGCCTGGGAGTGCTGGGGTCCAACCCCAGCAGGTGCAGGGGTTCCCCAAAGGTGTGGACGGAGTCGGCGAAGAAGGAAAGACTCGGAGACAGCGTTCATTTGATCAGCAGCCTTGCCAGGATCTCTAGCCACAATCTCCAGCCAAGTTCTGTGTCCATGTTCTCTTGCTAGGTTCTCCAGCCACGTTCTCCAAGTTCTCCAGCCAGGTTCTGTAGCCAGGTTCTTCAGCCAGGTTCTGATTGATTCTAATCCTATCAATCTCTATTCCAAAGGTTAGGGCGTTTCTTATCTCCATTCAAGGGAGTAAAGATTATGTAGCTTAAGCATGATTGTTCGTAGTTAAAGAGATTAATTACCCGCCTGGCACTTAGTGAAGGGGTTTTATTCCCTCCCTAACTTCAAGGGAAAATCTCTACCTGGGGAAACAACCTTTCTCAGAGAGGTGACCTTGGTTAAAACACATAGTGCCAAGAAGGTGAGCAAACATATTAAGAACAGTATGCCATATATGCCAGGTCCCTTGAAACAGCAAGGATGGACCGGCTCCCAGCATGGGAGGCTCCAGCAGGAAAGGCAAGTTCATTTCTAGAATCAAGGGCTGGACTATGTACAAAGGATTTAAAGCTGCTCTGAGCTTAAGCCAATCAGAGCACAGCCCTGCAGTCCCAGCTCTGCCCCGAGTCACAATGAGAACAGCCAGCATTCACCGTGCGCCTGTTCTGTGCCAGGCATGCTATGTGGATTACTCCCTGTTGCCCTCTAGATATTTCCCTGGTAAGTAGGCTCCCTTATTACTGTCAGTGTCTTGGAGCTGATAGTCGGGTCAGGAGGAGCCCCAGTCTGTCTGATGCGAGACCCCACTAGACAGAGCCGAGGTCTCATCAGAGTTGCTGCCCAGTTGGCTCTTAGAACGGGCTCAGGGCAGAGGCTCAGAGAGAAGTTGACAACATGCCAGGGCTCAGAGGCTGGTCTCACCTTCCACCTGCCAGAGGGGTGGGTGGGAGCACCCCTGGTAGGAACGGAGGTCCCAATTCCTCTTGCAGACTTTGCTGGCTGCCAGGGAGGTGGTGCCCTGCACAGTCGAGTTTCCTGGGGGAGGGTGCTAGAGGGGCAGCCGACCCCTTTTCCCTTGAATCAGAACTTGGCTGGTCCTGAGGGTGGGGCCTGGGAGCCTGGGCACGGGCCAGGCTGACCTCGCCTCCCCGGGTCCTGCAGGCTGGGCAAGTTTGCCGTTTTTGTCCACGCCAAGATGGCCGAGCTGCAGGTGAAGGACCTGAGCCTGAAGCCCCAGGGCATCCCTGGCCACGTGTTCCTCCTTCAGCTCCTGCACGGGCAGCACACAAAGCACCAGTTCCTGCTGAGAGCCCGCACGGAGTGAGTGGGCCTGGGGCTGGGGAGAGAGGACCCGTCCCAGGCAGGTACTGGCCTTCTCTCTCTGGCTTCAGGACGGTCGCATGAGGCAGGACTTGGGCAGAGCTGGCACCGGGGGGGAGGAGCAGGGACCTGGGGTTGCTCTGTTCTTATGCACAGAGCTGAGTAGGGCACAGGGCTGTGGGAACAGGGCTGTGAGGTGAGTCCTGGGGTGGGCATCATCCGTGACCTGGGTGGGTCTGGAACATACCCTGTTTCCCAGCTGTTTCGCCACCCTGGCCCTGGGAAAAGGCAGTTTGCATGTTGTGATCACTCGGCCTTGTTTTCTAGAAGTGAGAAGCAGCGGTGGATCTCTGCCATGTGCCCCTCCAGCCCCCAGGAAGACAAGGAGGTCATCAGCGAGGGGGAAGGTAGCAGCTGCCACCCTCCTCCCTCAAAGGCCCACATCCCCTGGGGCTGGGTACCTTGTTTTCCCCCTTCCCTCCAATCCTGGGTGCCAGGTGGCCAGTGGGGCTACAGGGAGAGAGATCAACTGCCCGGGGGAGTCAGGGGTGGCTCTGCAGAACCTTGAAGGATGGGCAGAATTCCCATAGGACAGGCCGACCCCCGCGTGCACAGACAGCACCCTGGAGGTGACAAAGCCTTTTATATCCTCCCATTTCATCCCCATAGAAGCCCATTTTACAGGTTAGAAAACAGAGATTCAGAGAGGTAAGGTGACTTGTCTGAGTTCACCCAACTAGTAAGCGGCAGGGCTGAGATTCGAGTCAGGCATGTGTGGTTTTCCCAATACAACCAGCCCATCTAGTGTGATAGGAAGAGCTGAGGGTCGGACCGGTACAGCTTCTCTGGCTTGAGCTAGGAATCCTGCTCGGGTTGGTGGGTGAGCTTCCCATTCTAAAGAGGTGCTCAGGGAAGGCCCCTGAAAGATGAGGAGGGGCAGGAGGAGATGAAAAGATCTGGGGGAGAGCACTCCTGGGAGGAGGGACAGCCAGTGCAAAGGCCCTGAGGCAGGTGGGAGCTCGAGCGTTTGGGAACAGCAGGGTGAGCAGTGTGGCTGAGCTTCATGAGCAAAGGGGAGTGGGAAAGAAGAGGGGAGGAGAGGTGGTTAGCAAGGGGGCCATGTCAGACCACACAGGGCTTTGCAGGCTGTGGGGAGGACTTTGGATTTTATTCTAAGAGGAGCAGGGAGCCCTGGAGGGTTATAAACCGGGGGGCGATGTGGCTTGAATCCCACTTGAGGAGGATGGTCTAGAGGGAACACCAGGGAGCATTAAGGGGCAACTGAAGGGGCCATTACTGCTTTGTGGGGGGTTCTGGTGGGCAGTTGGACATTGCCCTGGAGGTCAGGAGCAAGGTGTTGATCTGGGGAGGAGAGAGCCCTGGGTGCAGCAACAGTAACGGAAGCTGGGAGGGACAGGACTCATGGGGCTTGTGTTTAGGGTAAGAGAGGAGAAGAGCAGCCAGGGTGGGCTAGGGAGGGGTAGAAGAAAAGAAGCAGCAGCGGCCACCCTCCCGCCCCCTTACTTCCTCCTCTGCCCCTCCTGCCCACCCCATCATGCCCTGGGGACTCTCTCAGTCTCTCTTGGGCTGTCAGACCGCCCCCAGGTTCAGTGTGTCCGGACGTACAAGGCCCTGCAGCCGGATGAGCTGACCTTGGAGAAGACTGACATCCTGGCAGTGAGGACCCGGACCAGTGATGGTGAGAGGGGCCTCCTGGGAGGGCCTCCCGATGGCGCTCTCATGAGCAGGAGGTAGCTAGATGGCTACGACATCACAGGGAAAGGTTACGCAAGTGTTGATCAGCCACAGCATGCAGGAATGAAGTGAGACAACAGGAGGAACTTCCTACTTGTAAAGATGTAGGATTGAGAGTGACTGGCGGGGGAGAGCGGGAATACCCTTCTTTGAGGATGTCGGGAAAAACAGGTCAGAAGTTCCTCTACGAGACTGCCAGAGGCAGGGTCCTTCCTGGGGCTGGGAGACACTGAGATGGTGTCAGATGAGCTTGCAACAGGGCCTAGGCGTCCCCTCACAGACCCGGCCCTGGTGTCCCTCGGATGCCACTGATGCTGCACCTGTCCTGTGTGCCCCCAGGCTGGCTGGAGGGCGTCCGCCTGGCAGACGGCGAGAAGGGGTGGGTGCCCCAGGCCTACGTGGAAGAGATCAGCAGCCTCAGTGCCCGCCTCCGAAACCTCCGGGAGAATAAGCGGATCACGAGTGCCACCAGCAAACTGGGGGAGCCCCCTGCCTGATGAGCAGCTGTGGCCGGGACCCCAGCTCCGTGCCCGCTCCGGGACAGGTCCGGGGGGACCTGCAGTGTCTCCGTTCCCCAAGCCTCTGCTGCTGAGACTTCTGCTCTGTGGCCCGGCATCGAGGGGACAGCTGTTCCCTTGCTTCTCAGTGTCCGCTCTTCAGGGCCGAGGGCGGTTCCTTCCGCTGGCTGGGGGCCGCAACAAGGGGCTTCTGATATCTGGCAAGGATTGGGGCCCTCTGTCTTCCGTGTCCTTGACCCTGCCTGACTCTTGGTCCCTTCACCGGGGGCCTGGCAGGGAAAGGCTCTGGTACTAATGGGTCCTGCAGCCTGTGTATCTGGGGTCTTCTGGCCACAGCCTGCGTGGGTCCTGGTTGTGACTTGTCTGTAAATAAACTCCCATCATGCCTTTGCTTGGAGTCTGTGAGCCATCCGACGCCCCACTTCCCCAGCTAAAGATCAGGAAGGTCTCGGGCTGCCTCCCCTTGGGGATTCCCCTTGTAGAGTTCTCCTCTTAACCAGAGGAGGGTGAGAGAGGGCTGCGTATCAGTTAGACTGCTGTGGGCTGCTGTTAGCAAAAGAGCAGATTCAAATAGGCTTAAATAGTAAAGAGAATGTATTAGTTCTTGCACTTGTTTCTTACAGTTTCTGTAACAAATTCCTGCGAAGTAGGTGATGTAAAGCAACAGAAATTTGTTTTCTCACAGTGCCGGAGGCCAGAAGTCTGAAATTGGCATCATTGGGCCAAAGTCCAGGTGTCTGGAGTGGAGATATGCTCTGGGGAGAAGGGTCCCTGGCCTAGTTCAGCTTCTGGTGGCTGCCAGCGTTCCTAGGCTGGCTGTTGTATCACTCCAGCCTCTGCCTCTGTGGTCACATTGCCTTCTCTGTGTGTCTATGTCAAATATTTCTCTGCCTCCCTCTTATAAGGATACATGTGATTGCATTTGGGGTCCACCAGGATTCTTAATTCTTAACTTAAATCCATCTTATATTTCTTAAGTCCCATCTACAATGACCCACGCCTTTTTTTTTTTTCTTTTTGTTATATGAGATGACATTCTTAGGTTCTAGGCATTAGAATGTGGATGTATTTTGGGAGACCATTTCTCTGTCTACCACGGTTCTCATATCTGAGAAGTGTAGAGTCAAGGTGGACTTCAGGCAAGGCTCGATCCAGTGGCTCATTGTTCTAACTGAGGACTCAACTCTTTACATTCTCTACTCTGCTATTCTTGGTGTCAACTTTATCCTAAGGCTCCCAGGGGCTTCTTCTTTTTTTAAAAAAAAATTTTTTTTATTGATTTCAGAGAGGAAGGGAGAGGGAGAGAGAGAAACATCAATGATGAGAGAGAATCATTGATTGGCTGCCTTCTGCATACCCCCCACTGCAAGATTTAGCCTGCAGCCTGGGCATGTACCTTGACTGGGACTCAAACTATGATCTCCTGGTTCATAGGTCGGTGCTCATCCACTGAGCCACACTGGCCAGGCTCTGAGGGGCTTCTTCATTCACATCCAACATGGAAGAAGAGAATTGTCTCCCCACCACCCCCTTTCTCAAAGACCTCTCTGATTGGACGAGCTTGGATTACATGGCTACCTCTGGGCGGATCACGGAAGGCAGGGGGTGGTGTGTGCTGATGGACCTAAGGCTAGGCCATGTGCTCTATATCCCTGGAGCCAGATTAGGGAATTGTCTGCCCTGAAATTGAATGGATCCGCAAGAGGAATCAGTGGCTGTTGCAAAGGAAGGGTAAATGCTGGGGAGGTCTCCCAAGAGAGTGGAGGGACCAGGGAACAGAGAACACTTGGGGGGATGGGAGCGCCCTTCAGCCCTCTAAAGGAGGTGGCAGAGCAAAGAAAACTCGAGTTGGGGGGTCCCAGAGGGCAAATGGGGAGAAGCTCAGGCCCATGTAGAAACCTTTGGGGGTCTCTTTCTAACCTGAGGTGGTTCAGGAGGGTGGAGTGTGCGGGCTAAGGAGGCGGGCACACCGGAATTTCAATTCTGGTTCAGATGTTTATTCCCCATGTGATCTTTTTTAAAAAAAATAAAGCTTTTAGTTACAGAAAAGTTGCAAGGATTGTACAGAGAGTTCCATACACCCCTCCGTGTTTTCCCTGCTGTCAACATCTTCCATTGCCATGGAACAGTTGTCAACACTAAGAAACCAACATCGGTACATGACTATTAACTGACTCCCAACTGTATTCGGATTTCACCAGTTTTTCCACGAACGTCCTTTTTCTGTCCAGGACCCAGTTCAGGAGCCCGCACGGCGTTTAGTCTCGCCTGGCCTGTGACAGCATCTCAGCCTCCCCTTGTTTTCCACGAGCTTGCCGATTTTGAGGAGTTCTGGTCAGTATGTTGTTAGATTGTCCCTCCGTTTGGGTTTATCTGATGTTTTTCTCATGACTAGACAGGAGTTATGGGTTTGGGGCAAGAATACCACAGAGGCCCAGTGCCCTTCTCATCACATGATCTCAGGGGGCATGTGACTTCTTCCTGGTGATGTTAACCTTGATTACATGGTTAAGCTGGTGTCTGCCAGGTTTTTGTTGTTGTTAATCCTCACCCAAGGATATCTTCCCATTGATTTTTAGGGAGAGTGGAAGAGAGAGGGAAAGACAGAGAGAAACATCCATGTGAGAGAAACACAGCGATTGATTGCCTCCTGCGGGAGCCCCGACCAGGACCAGGGCCTGGGCCATGGAGGAGCCTGCAACCAAGGTACATGCCCTTAACTCGAGTCGAACCCAGAACCCTTTGGTCCGGAGGCTGATGCTCTATCCACTGAGCCAAACCGGCGAGGGCTGCCAGGCTTTGTTCCTTGGAGGCAAATGGAGCCCCCGCTGAAGTGTGTGTGAGGTGAGGTCGGGGGCTGGCCCCGCCTTCTGGAGGGTGGATCTACATATATTATTTGGAATTCTCTTGAAAGAAAGATTTGTCCCCCGCCCCGATGTATTCAACCAATCATTTATTTCTATCAGCGTGGGCCCGTGAATTTATCTATCTTATCTCTGGGTTATAATTCCTCACCAAGGTACTGACTTCGTTGTGTAAACTGTTCCAGTGTTGGCCATTGGGTGCGCTTTCCGATGAGCTCCTGTGTCTGTGTGACATCCTCCCATCCTTTTGCTTTTTGAGCATTTCCTTACTTCCTGGCACGACAAGATGCTCCAAGCTCATCTTGTAGTCTCCCTGCCTCCCGGGGTGGAATCGGCCGTTTCTCTAAGGTGTGTGGTTCCTTAGATTGTTGGGCGGTGTTTAGGAACCAAGATCTGGTTGCTGGGCGCGCTCATTGCTATGGAGGTGTCATGGCTTCTTGCTCTCCTACTGGACAGAGGTAGGACATACCTATCTGTGTGCATGATTCTAAGCAAGACAATGGCTCTGCTCCTCAGTTACCGTTTCTGCACGATGGGGATGGTGATAACTGCACCTCCTTCGTGGAGCCACGGTGAAGTAAGGGTGACACAGTGCCTGGCCCATAAGAAGTTGCCAAAAATGGTGGCTTTTACTGTGTCAGGGCTGCATGGCCTGAGTATGGGGCCCTTGTGAGGCTGTGAGGACTCTGTCTCTTGAGAATTGAAGTCCCAGAGCGGAGAGGACTCTGTCTCTTGAGAATTGAAGTCCAAGAACGGGAACCCTGTACTGAGCGAAGACCAAGGGGCCTCTGCTTGTCCAGCACTGAGTCTGTACGGGGGGAGGGGGTGGGGCGGGGGGAGCTGAGGTCGGCCAAGCAGAGGAAACAAGCCCTCCTGCCTTCCACCTGCCCTGGCGGATCTGGATTCTGGCTGACACTTGCATCTGGACTAGATCCCTGGGGGCTGGGCTGGGGGGTGGGGGGTGGGCACTGACTCTCAGGCCATGCTGTCATTCAGGGAGAGCAGGGCTGCCTGAGGTACACCAGGCCCTCTCCCCTCATTCCTCACCTGCCCGGAGGCAGATGCAAGCGAGGCATGTTAGGAGAGCCCCTCTCTCGGCGGGGCCTGCCCCTGCCCAGCCGGCCCTGCCCTGCTATTTGGCCTTGGCCTAGGACCCAGGGCCCCGCCTTTGCTTGTTGTAGGAGGAGTGTGTGTGTGTGGGGGGGTGCTTGGGCAGGACAGGCGGTGGCGGGCATGCCTGCGGTAGGGGTTTTGCCCCCTGAGGCTGTCTGTTCAGCCAGTTTCCAAACCATGTAACTCCAGGAGCCCATCTCAATGGCTTCCTGCAGCCCCACCCCACCCAGTGCCAACCCCCTCCGCGCAGTGTCACGGGATCCTGCTGGTCCCCTTGCCTGACGTCCCCAAACTCTGAGCCTATTGTTCACATTTTCTCCTGAAATGAAACTTTAAAAAAAATCTTATTCAATTGTTCATTTCTGGGACACCTGAGGCTTCAGGGTGAGCCAGGAGCCCGGCAGGCCCTGCCTCTGGGGCCACCAGCGTGGACATAGTCATTCACTTGCTTCTTAGTGGATTCCCAGCACAAGGACTCCCAGACCGTCCTGAGCGTTCCTACTAGCAGTGTATGAGACTGTTTCCCTCATGTTATCAAACTTTTAAACCTTTTGTAATCTATGCTAGAAAAAGTATTTTGTGATTCTGCTTTGGAGGCTGCACCTGCCAAAGCCGAGTAGGTGCCTATGCGCTGACCGGACAATTCAATTCTTCCCTCATACACCCAGCAGAAGCATGTACACACGGGCCCCCAAAGACACAGACTGGAATGTTCTTAGCGGCATAACGCCTTCATGGCCAAAACGCTGGAAACTACCCGAACGCTCATCGGTGATCAAATGGATAAGTTGTGGGACGCCTATGCAGCAATGAGAGAAACCATCTGTATCTGCGCGTGAGGACTGGGACAAATCTAGACAGAATGGGGGAGAAGCCAGACACGGCCGTGGGCTTCTTAGACGATCGTGTTTAATAAAGTACAAAAACAGGGAAAACAAACTGATGGCCAGAGGTCAGGATGGCAGGAGCAGTAACTGGTGGCGGAGGCGTCTGATGACGCTGTCTACGCAGGCTGTTCATTTTGGGACAACCCATTGAGCTGCACACGTGAGGTCGGTACTTCGATGCCTGTGAGTTAAACTTGGACAGAAACTTTACTTAGTGTCTTAGTGGGAGAAACCCTGGTGCTGTGGATGGGCAGATAAGGGAGCAGCCAGCTCTACAGGGGGTCAGGGCAGGCTTCCTGGAGGCAGTGAGACCCAAGCTACGTCCCGAGAGCCGAAACGGAGGTGGGAGATCAGGGACGTGACCAAGTCAAGACCCAGGATCTGTCCTCTGGGAACCAGCGACTCGAGGAGACATGAGCAAGAGAGGAGTCGGTGGCTTGCCTCCTTGACCCGACCTTGACATTGGCCTGCTCCTGCTCTGTATCCATGTGGGAGGACCCACAGACCCTTCTTGCTCCAATACTTT